ACATGGCACCCACGGTATCTTCGTGACATCTTTGTCGGTCCGCCTCTCTAAGATCTAAGCCGCTTTCCTGTTGACCTCCGCATTGTCTGTACAGATCGCGTTGATCCGTTGAAGCCCTATCACACGCATCACCTGCTCCCACAACTTCGCCAATGCTGCTGTGTTCTTCTTCCTAGCCGTCATGTGCACTGTCGTGACCAGAACCGCTCCTTTCTCCCCCACTGCAAGGAAATTCATCACTGGCCGGTTCTTGCGATTTGTGGACCCCTCGGTGATGAATGTGCAGCCGGTTGTGTCCCAACATGCAGTTATGGGGTTGATTGATTTTTGCACCTTCACATATATGTAATCAACCATGACAATCCGCATGTGTTTGTTGGAATGCAACTTGACCTTTGGCCTTGCACTTGCAACCTTCAAGTATGCTTCGTGCAGAGCTTGCGTGGTGTCGAAGTTTAGGAAGTTGAAAGAAATGCCCGCCCTGAACATTGCCCCCGCCCAGGCAATGTCCAACTCCTTCTGAGCTTAATTGTCAATCCACTTCTTGATTGTGGTTTGCTTGGCCACAACAGGCTTGACAGTGCCCTGCGCTTCGCCAGGGACCTCGTCACCCCCCTCCCCATCCTCACCGTCGTGGCAGGAGTCTGAGCAGCAAGCCGTGGAGCAGACCTCACCGTGAGAGATGATGGTACCGGCTTAGACAAAGGATCCTCAGCATCAAATCCACTCTGCACATGCTCCTCGCCCCCCTCTGCACACCTGGCTAATCCCTTGGCATTATTCAACAAGTAACGAGTATTCTTGTCGATGGACTTCACCTTACCGCGCTGGTTGCTGACAAGCTCATCGACGATCTCCCCTGTCCGAAAAGGACATGGTTTCTGCAGTTTCAGGAAATGATGAACCGCCTTCGTCAACGAGCCCCTGAAGATGGTGGAGCATAGGCGACACCTGAGCCAGTACTCCCCACTGCCTGTCGGCAATGCCTCTTGTCCTTGTTCAACCCACTGCCACACTGAACTCCTCTTCACCAGCTTCTCATGTGCCTTGCCGCCCTGGGGTTGAGGGTCGGTGCGCGGTGTTGCGTCCTTGTTGACGGGCGTCGTGGTGGACTGCGCCGTCTTGCTTGAAGAAGGCCTGTAAGTATCATGTAACACCTGGCCTTTCCCTCTTTTCGCACCAGCGGTGCCCAGCCTGCGTATCGATGGTTCAGCCCCACCACTGCCATCACCTGCCATGCTGTTGCCTGCGGTATGTGGAGGGGGGGAAAAAAAAGATGAAGTGTGGAAGGCTGTGGCTTTGGGACGCCTCGATGGTTCAGCCCCACCACTGCCATCACCTGCCATGCTGTCGCCCGCGGTATGTGGAGGGGGAAAAAAAAAATGAAGTGTGGAAGGCTGTGGCTTTGGAACGCCTTAGTTTGGCTATGGGGGTTAAGAAGAAGAAGAAGAAGAAGAAGAAGCTACGGCTCTGGCTCTGGCTCAGCGGGAAGGGAAGCAGAGGAGGACGAGGAGGAGGAGAAGGAGAAACTAATGCGAAAGAATAAATAAATAAAAAATCGCTATGATTATGGCTCTGGCTCAGCAGGGTTGGAAGCAGAGGAGGAGGAGGAGGAAGAGGAGGAGAAGAAGGAGAGGAGGAGGAGGAGGAGGAGAAGAATCTGATACGAAAGATGAAAAAACAAATCGCTATGGCTATGGCTCTGGCTCAACGAGGACGGAAGCAGAGGAGGAGGAGGAGGAGGAGGAGAAGAAGAAGAGGAGGAGGAGGAGGAGGAGGAGGAGGAGGAGAAGAGGAAGAGAAGAAGAAGAAGAAGAAGAGGAGGAGGAGGAGGAGAACAAAAAGAAAAAAAAAAAAAAAATCGCTACGACTATGGCTCTGGCTCAGCGGGGAGGGAAGCAGAGAAGGAGAAGAAGAATAAGAAGAAAAGGAGGAGAGGGAGGAGAATCTGATACGAAAGATGGTAAAAAAAAAATCGCTATGGCTATGGCTCTGGCTCAGCGGGGAGGGAAGCAGAGGAGGAAGAGAAGAAGAGGAGGACACGAAGAAGAAGAAGAAGAAGAAGAGGAGGAGGAGGACAAGAAGAAGAAAAAGAAGACGAAGAAGAAGAGGAGGAGGAGGAGAAGAATCTGACACGAAAGATAGGGGGAAAAAATTCCCTATGGCTATGGCTCTGGCTCAACGGGGAGGAAAGCAGAGGAGGAGGAGGAGGAGTAGAAGAAAAAAGCAGCAGCAGCAGCAGCAGCAGCAGCAGAAGAAGAAGAAGAAGAAGAAGAAGAAGAAGAGAACGAAAAAAAATCTCGCTGCTGTTATGGCTTGGGCTCAATGGAGAGGTAGGAGGAGGAGGAGGAGGAGAAGACAAAGAAGAAGAAGAAGAAGAAGAAGAAGAAGAAGAAGAGGAGGAGGAGGAGGAGCAGGAGGAGGAGAAGAAGAGTAGAAGGGAAAAAGATAAAAAGGACGAGGAGGAGAACAAGAAGAGGGAAAAAGATGATGAGGACGAGGAGAAGAAGAAGAAGAAGAAGAAGAGGAAGAGGAGGAGGAGGAAGAGGAGGAGGAGACGATGAGGGAAAAAGATGAAGAAGAAGACGATGAGGAGGACAACGAGAAGAAGAGGGCTTGGGCTCAATGGAGAGGTAGGAGGAGGAAGAGGAGGAGAAGACAAAGAAGAAGAAGAAGAAGAAGAAGAAGAGGAGGAGGAGGAGCAGGAGGAGGAGAAGAAGACGAGTACAAGGGAAAAAGATGAAGAAAAGGACGAGGAGGAGAACAAGAAGAGGGAAAAAGATGAGGACGAGGACAAGAAGAAGAAAAAGAAGAAGAAGAGGAGGAGGAGGAAGAGGAGGAGGAGGAGAAGATGAGGGAAAAGATGAAGAAGAAGACGATGAGGAGGACAACGAGAAGAAAAGGGAAAAAGATGATGAGGACGAGGACAAGGAGGAAGAGAAGAAGAAGAAGAGGAAGGAGGAGAAAGAGGAGGAGAAGACGAAGAGGAGGAGGAGGAGAAGGAGCAGCTGAAGAGAGAGGTCGGTGGCGGGCTGGAGACAGGGCGCTGGCGCTGATCACGTGGTGGCAGAACACGACGTCGACTCGCATGCAGAAAGGCGCGACGTCAACATCGTGTGTTCTTGCGGTGGCGTGGGGCAGGCGGGGTGGAGGGCCAGAGGCAGTGCATTCTCCAACGCGATCGACATTTCAAAACGCGGCCAATTTTGGCCGCAGATCCGCAGATCTGCACCGATCGGCAGCGGAGATTGGCCGCACGTTCTCCATCGAAAACGAGGTCCGGTAGGGCCCCTTTTTTTTCCTGCTGGCGGCGGCCTCCCAGAGGCTGGGCGGGGGCGGGGACACCCGAAAATCCCCCGTACCGGCCCTCCAAAGAAGTGCGCTGAATGGCACCGGGGGCCTGCCGGACCAGTGAACCGCCCGGTTGGACCGGAAGGCTCCCGGTCGGTCAAAGGTCCCCCGCAGAGATTGGCCGCACGTTCTCCATCGAAAATGAGGTCCGGTGGAGCCCCTTTTTTTTCGTGCTGGCGGCGGCCTCCCAGAGGCTGGGCGGGGACGGGGAGGCCTGAAAATCCCCCGTAACCCCCCCCCSCCCCCCCCCCCCCAAATAAGTGCGCTGAAAGGAACCGGGGGCCTGCCGGGCAAGTGAACCGCCCGGTTGGACCGGTTGGCTCCCGGTCGGTCGAAGGTCCCCTGGTCCATCTGGGGACCAGCACTCGATTCAATTAATTTCAATACGAGAACTTCCTAACCTACAAGTACCTTTCCCAGCCATTCCAATTGAAATGGCTGCCAGCACCGCAAAAGAACAAGAAAATGCACCTGCGCAGTTCCTTTTCATTGCCACACAGCAGAAAAAAAATCACATGAGGAATAAGAGCCTCAAAGATACTTGTGGACAGACCTCGACACCAGAAACACTACCTCCTCCCTTACCCATAATTCTATAGGGAGCCTCCACTGAGGCTTTGTTGGAGTTGAGGTCAAGGTTTTGAAGTTTTGAAGGCAGCATCCTTACAGCCCAATCTGAAATCACCGTTCGCTTTTGATTTGTAACGTCCTGTTTTTCCGTTCATGGTACCCATCGAACTGCAAGCAAGCTGATTCCCAAGTAGAGAGGTAGAGGCAACCTACCAACATTTTGGTACATTGTCTCTTTCCTAGACGCACCCATTCCATTGTGAGGGCCTCCACAAAACTTGCTCACTCACACCAGCGCCTCGGGGGTTCACAAGTGGACCGCAGGAGTGTAGTGGTGATGTGTAATGCGACATCCAGGGTTCATACTCTCCTGCTGCCCACTTTGTACATGATGCAGCTACCCACACTTTCAACCTCAGTGGTGGTTATCACAAACTTCGACTGATGCAACCAAATGGTATTCATAATAGTATAGGTTGGATCTACATGCGCCCCTGTGTGCTCCCACCAACCATTCCATAGACCTCCCTTGCACCCCTCCATGCACACTGATTCACCAGTTAGAGAAAGGATGGGCGAAGCAAAAAAAGACACGCACACGAACACACCACACTTTCAAACTCAGTGGTGGTCATCACGAACTTTGGCCGATGCAGTCAAATGGTTTTCACAATACTATAAATTGGATAGAGTACAGGCCCCTGCGTGTTCCCACCAACTATTCACTAGACCTCCCTTGCACTCCTCCCTGAACACTGGTTCACCAGTTAGAGAAAGGATAGGCGAGGCAAAAAAAGGGACACACACACACACTCACACACACACGCACGCACCCACACAGACACACAGACCCACACAGGCACACGCCCCCTTGCCCGCACACAGCCACACACACACACACACACACCCAGGCGCACCCATGCACAACCACGCACACCCATGCATACCCGCACACACACACACACACATTACCAAAGGCAGCACAGCAGCTAAAGAATCCCTAAAAGAGACCAACCATACACGCACATCTAGTTGACAAAACAGACTACATGCCTAATGCAACTGAATATAAACCGCATATAGTCATCTCCATTTCATTTACAGTCCTAGAATGTTCAATCCCAAAAACAGTATGACAATTGGCTAGAAACGAGTGTATATAGTCACAAGAAAGACAAAAGGTCATAAATATACAAAACCAGCAGTGGAAGTAGAGAAATAGGTAGAAAGAGTACAACAGCCACCACCAAAGAGTTCTGTGAAATATCAATCAGACCATCCACAAACTCCGCAGGGCAAAGTCATGCAAACGAAGTCCAGACGTATTAAAGGCTGGAGTGAGAAAGGACAGACGCCCTCCACCAACGACACAATGAACATAGAGATTTTTTGCTGAAGCAGTGAAATGGAGAGGACATCAAAACTTGATTGCCCTTCGAGAGAAATCCGCATGCCGTTCCAGGTCAAGATCAGAGGTGGTCACCGCGACGACACCGATATTAGCCAGTTGTCAAACCAAAGCAAGATATTTACACAAAGCAGAGGGACCTCCTCCCTCTCTGTCCCCGAAAAAACAGGCCTTTCAAAGTTCTGCACTGAAGTGTGATTCCAGAGGGGACAACGGAAGAACAGCATCCAAGTACAAGAGTAGAAACATACCCTCACAACAGAGTGTTTGGCACGCTTCCCCTGTCCTGACTCACTCCTAGTCACCCATCATTACATGTCTGGTGCTACATAAGATGGGGGCGGAGAGTTTGTCAAGCGCCAAGTGCACACGCAGAAAACATAAAACTTTTGTCACGAGTCACACAAACTCTCACTGGAACAGAAACGCAACCCAAGGACAACACTATACTCTTCAATGCATGCGAATAGATCCAAAAATTGGAGAACACAATGGTTACCCCTGAAACAAGGCTTCGTAGCTCTGGTCTCTGAGAAGAGGAGATCTGTCTGAGCAATAACAATACAAAGATTCTCTGAGATGATAGCTGCATATACGGAAGAAAGTAATCTCCCATCATCACCTGTAAAAGATAACACATTCCACCCTTATTTCATCTCCAACTCTCTCTCTCTCTCTCTCTCTCTCTCTCTCTCTCTCTCTCTCTCTCTCTCTCTCTCTCTCTCTCTCTTTTCCAAGCCATTGATCACTAACTCATGGCATCAGAGGATGACAAAGCAGCAAAAAATCCGCAGGTACCAAAACTGAACTAAAAACGGATGAACGACAGGAGCTACAAGATGTCCCTTTTCCTGACAACAATGCCCAAAGGAACTCTCCCCCTCCAACTCCCACCACACCTCACCTCAACCACACACAGCAAATTAACTCTCAGAGATTTCGACAAGCCGCTGCAACTCAGGCAACACCTGCAGTCTGCACTGCAGTTATGGGTGCAGCAGCAACATTCATTGATCCCCTTCCAGCCCCGCCTCCACGTCCACCCCTCCCCCTTCCCCCACCTGATCGGCCACCACCATAGGAATTGCCTTGTCCATCAAATCTATCATAAAAACCACCTCCTGCTCGACCGCCCAATCTACCACCACGCCGTCCTCCCCTCCCATTTGCAAACATTCCCCCACCTCGCATGTACGGTGCTCGGTTCCCTCCTCTTCCCATGCCCATCCCGCCACCAGGCCGCTGATACCCATACCCACCTTGCGGCATACCTGGTCCCATATAATTTGCATTCGCTGGATGAGGTGATTGTTGAGGAATGCCTGCTGGTGCAGCTGGTTCTCCCGCAACACCCACCACTTGATTTTGACTCTCCTGGCTTCCATACTGCAACAAAGTTCGAGACAGGCAAGGCCAACACCAGAACGAAAAGGTAAGAACATCTCTGAAAAACAAACGACACAGACTGCTTCAGAATGAAGTGGCGGCACATCGACAGACAGACATAGATGAGAGGACACAGACTGCTTCAGAATGAAGTGGCGGCACATCGACAGACAGACATGGATGAGAGAACGAAACAGCTGGTCCAGCTATCTTTTTTACCTCCGCTTGAATGTATCACAGCAAGGATCTGCCTTTGCTCAGATTCCCGCTGAGAGGTGATAGATCAAACGTGTAGGATCCATGAAATGCACACCACACACAAAAAGTCCTCACAAGAAGAGCCAGCTCGGCTCTGCCCGCGTGCGGAAGGGGCATTGATGCAGTTCAGATTAGTGTGCATCAAATCTATAACAAGTTAATAACCATGTGATTACCGGAACCAAAACATCGCGGGTCTTTACGAAGGTTAACAAAAAATAGCTATGGTCAACTGTTTCAAAAAACAAACATAGAACAATAAAATACGTTGAATTTGAACCTTAATGGAAAAGAAAGGTGTTTTAGGAGGATTTAGTTTTCAGAAAAATGGAGAATTAACCCCCTCCTAAGCTGCAACAAAGACAGCCTAAACACTTTCACACCATAAAGACAACTACGAAACCCGCACGCCACTTTGGAGACAGAAAATTAACAGGCTCCTAAGCCCCCATAAAGACATTTTCAAAACAACAGCACACGTCAATCCACGACCACCTATGACCCTTACCTTGACAAGCCTAGACAAGACTTTCGTGCCCAAGCAAAACAAACTGGCATATTTTCTTTTTATGTGGCTGGCGTTTAGCTCAGTTAGGCCATGCCCCGCAATTCGTGGTGCATCACCGGATGGGTACTAGACAAGGATTTTGTTCTGTTAATCCGATTGCTAGATTTCCTGCTGCAGCTTCGCTTGCAAGGAAATACGAGGGAATACCAAACGTACGTTTTCTTTGAGAAGTTGTAGTAACTTCTTAGCATCATTCTTGTTTTGCGCTCTGCAGAATGACCGACACATATGCAGTCCAAGAACTCTGAACGTTTAAGAGAAAACGCTGTCCCGTTAATCTGTTCGCTCAAGATTCCAATTCTCAGTCTGTTTGCTGTGTTTTCTGAACACGGTTGTGATACCATATGCTTACTGGATGACCCGTTGCGGCTCCGCCCGCAAAAACAGAAAAGGAAAAAAAGCACAAAAGAAAGAAAAAGCATAAGGAACTCCCCTATCATATGCCGCCGAGCCTTTTTTTCCCTTTATCTTTAAGTGTTTTGTTTGGGGAGCCATTACCTTCGCAGCATTGTTTTTGTTTTGTGATGTGCAAGAACTCTGCACTTTTCTGAGAAAATCCTGTCCATTGTCCCGTTGATGCTTTTGCAGCTAAAGATTCAGATTCAGACTTTGTTTGCTGTGTTCTCTGGATATGTTTGTGATCAACCCATCTTGCATGTATGCATGCCCCGTGCTTACTTGTTGAGTTTTTACGCTATGTGCGCAAGTGCATGCGTGTGTGGGTGAGTCTCACTTTGGTGGGCTCGGATGATGTTATTGACGATTGGCCTGGGGAAGTTGGAAGGAAGTCGGCTCCAACTATAGGAGTGACACTGATGTTACGCAGGTTTTGCATTGCATGAATGAAACAATCAGCATTCAATCTGCTTGGCAGTTGCTCTTCGGGTGGGGGACTTCTCGGGAGTAGCATTGACATGAGAGCATCTTGGAGCATTTCCGGGAAGGCAAAACGCAAAGAAGAAACGAAGTAGCACGTGTCAGAGTCACATAACGGACAGCTTGGCACAGTCCCCCCCCTTCTCTCTCTCTCTCTCACACACACAAAATTCTCTCTCTCTCTCTCTCTCTCTCTCTCTCTCTCTCTCTCTCTCTCTCTCCCCACACACACACACACACAAAAGCACACGTAAGGGAAAAAACAGAAATAGAGCGCGATTTTGGGCCTTCCACACTCCACCTTACCCCTGCCCCTCTTCCCCGTCCCCCCATCTTTCTCCCATCCACGACATGTAYCGCTATCCCTCCCGCTCTTCCCCTTTGTCACTGTACCATCCTTACCCCTCGACTCTCCCTTCCCTCACAGGACGCTGTGCCATGCGCCACCTCATCCTCTTCCTCCAAATCCGCCCGCGCTATTGCTCTGCGCTTTCCTCCCTGAGTCCTACTGTGGCTTCTGCTGCCCCTCTCCCCTCCTGACCCCAATTCTCACGCGCCCCTCTTCACTCCCCTCCCACCAACTCATTTGTGTATGCCTCTCTCTCTCTCTCTCTCTCTCTCTCTCTCTCTCTCTCTCTCCACCTTCGCCTGACCTCTTCCCTTGCTCCGTACCCCACCCAACCTTTGCCCTCCCTCCGGCCGACCTCACCATGCCATCTTTCCCCTCCTCTTCCTCTTCACATGCTCGTCCCCCCCTTACCTCTTCCCTTCCTCCATATGTCACTCAACCTCTAAACTACATTCTGCTTTCTGTCCTCCCTCCGCCCTACTTCTCCCTGCCGCCTCCCTCTTCTCCCTGCCTCCTCTTGACCTTCTCTTAAAACCTCCCTCTGCCCTCCCTTCACCTGGCCACCTCACTTCCCTTCCTTCGTCCAATCTCCGCCTGACMTCCTTCCCTCTATCTCCTCCGTCCTCCTCCTTCCTCCTTCCTCCTTCCTCTGCCCGACTTGCACTGACCTCCTCCTTCCCCCAATCTCCTTCCTCCCCTTCCTTCCTTTGCCCGATCTCTACCTGAACTCCTGCTTCCGCCCTACTCTCTACCGCCTTTCCCCTGCCTACTGGCCTCCTCCGCACTTCCTCTTCAACCTCCCACTGGCCTCCGTCCGCCTGGCCGCCTCATTCCCCTTCATCCGCCCCCTCTGTTCGCCCAATCTCTGTCTGCCCTCCTTCCCCCAATCTCCTTCCTCCCCTTCCTTCCTCAGCCATGATCACCACCTGACCACCTCCTTCCATTCCTCCCTCCCGGATCGAGGATGAGCACGAATCCAAGCACGGCACCAAGTCCCCATCGAGCAGCAAAGGAGAGCTCAGTGTGTGTGTGTGTGTGTGTGTGTGAGAGAGAGAGAGAGAGCGATGAGCACCAAGGAGAGCACCAAAGGAGCGACCACGA